GAGGGAAGGTGGTGATTTTAGACGGGTAGAGACAGTGACATTGGAACCAAGACCAAGCCAGCAGGCAAGGGCTGCCGTTCGAGAGTCAGGAAGACCATTCCACGTAAGGGCCCGGCAGACAGAAGATCATGTGGCCAGAGATAATGGTACACACGTGCCACAAGGTGACAATGGTAGGACGCGTGCCACAAGGTGACAATGGTAGGACACATGCCACAAGGTGACAATGGTAGGACGCGTGCCACAAGGTGACAATGGAGAGGAAGACCAGGGTGGACCTATAGACCCGGAGGCTACACTAAGGAATCTGGATTTCCCTTCAGTTTGGATGGGAAGTTACTGGAGGAGTTTAAGCAGAGAAGTGAGTATATTAACTCATGTTTGTAAAACATCACTTTTCCAGCACAGCCTGGGGAAAGTGAAACTGGGGCAGAGACAATCAACAAAGGTGGAGGCTGAGAATCCAAGTGGATGAAAGCCTCACCAGCCTGGCCAAGGGGTGATACTGTCTTGGCTAAAGTTGGCAGCAATGGCAATGATATAAGAAGTGGAAGGATCTGTAGTTCTAAACTTTTTCATGAAAGTAACTTCTTAAATACATACCTAAATGTGGCCAGTTTTTCATTCTTTTGTAATAATTCTTCCTGCAACTCACAAATGAGGGGAAGGAAAGCTCTTTCTACCCTGTGGGAGGATAGGCAAGCATTCCTTCTCCACAGTCTGATATTTTAGGTATTCCAGTATTCTCCCACCCCCAAGATCATGTTGTAGTTCCTGTCACCAATAAAGGTTTTATCCCATTCCCTTCTGCTGTCATTTTCCCTCCTCCTTCCTTAAAGGAAGGACCCCAGCGCTTCTCCATGGATTCTGCCCTAAGTACTCATTTCTCAACATGCTTGGCAAATCCCCCTCCCTGTGGGATCCAGGTTTGCTAAGTAAATCTACATCTACATCCATGCCTGGAGTTTGGATTCTAGCTACAGTTACTTGCAATAGTAACAATCACAGGTGTTAAATGTTAAGTTATTTTCACTACGAAAGTCTCGAGTAAGGAAGCTCGGTTTAGGGGCCAGTGCAACTGCCCATGAGCAAAATGCACGCCTTCTCTCCCCTTTGCTCAAATGGCTCTCTTGTTTGAGATCCTTTTCCTTCCTCTTCACCTGACTAGTTATTTGTTCTTCAAGGTGCAGCTCAGGGGCCACCTCCTCCAGAAACGCCGCCTCTTCTCCAGCCCAGCTGGAGGAAGTAAGGCGCCTCTGGAATCCGGCAGAAATCCATGTTTACCCTGATCACAGCATTCACCAGAGACGCTTATCTCTTTTCCTTCACTCTGTCTCTCCTATTGGACCCCAGGGGACATGTCTAACTTATCGTTTTATCCAGCAGGGCTCAATGTGCTGGCTGAATTAATATGAGGCACATCTCATCCATTGCTGGTGGGAGTGTAAATTGGAAAACTGCTTGGCAGCACTTCCTAAAGCAGTGGTTCTCAATACCTGGTGCTTTTGCCACCCCAGGGGACATTTGGCAATGTCTGGAGACATGTCTGTTTGCTACAACTGGTGAGGAGGGGTGCTAATAACATTCAGTGGGTAGAGGCCTGGGATGCCACTAAACATCCTGCAATGGTCAGGACAGCCCCCCACCAACAAAGAATTATCTGGCCCAAGTTGAAAGATCTTGTACTAAGGGTAAATATACACTGAATCTATGGCCTAGCAATCCCACTCCTAGGTATATATGTCCAAGGAAGTGATGTATACAAACATCAAGAAAACAGGTACAAGAACATTTGTAGCAGCTTTCAGGTTTGGAAACAAACCAAAAGTCTACTGATAGGACACCAGATAAATAAACTCTAGTATATTTGTACAGTGGCATACTACACAGCAATATAAAGATAGTACTGCTCTATGTGATATGGATGAATCTTACAGATAAAACAACGTAATGGGCAAAATTAAGTAATGGTGATGAACTCAGAATCATGGCTACCTCTGGGGACAGGGAGGTACTGATGGGGAAGGGGTAGGTAGGAATCTTCAGGATGCTAAGAATGTTTCTTTTCTTTTTTTTTTTTTTTTTTGAGATGGGGTCTCTCTCTGTCAGCTTGTACCACAGTCTGGAGTGCAGTGGTACAAACACAGCTCGCTGCAGCCTCACCCATCTCAGCCTTTAGAGTAGCTGGGACTACATGCATGCATCACCATGCTTGGCTAATGTTTCAGAATATTTTTTAGGGAAGGCGAGCTCTCTCTGTGTTTCCCAAGCTGGTCTCAAACTCTTGGTCTCAAACAATTCTCCCACATCAGCTCCCAGCTGGTTGAGATTACAGGCTAGGCATGAGCTACTACATCTGGAACTAGGAACACTCTTTACCTTGATCTGGGTGGTAGTGACATAGGTATACCCATGTAAAAATGCACTGTGCTGTGCACGAATGTCTCATGCAATCTATGTGTGCTATGACACACACAAGCTTCATTATATAAAGTAATTCCCTAGAACACTTAATCATTCCACTGTTGGTGGGAATGCAAATTAGTGCAACTCTGAAGATTTCTCAAAGAACTGATAGTTGAACAATTTGACCCAGCCATCCCATTACTGGGTATATACTCAAAGGAAAATAAATTGTTCTACCAAAGAGACATATGCACCCGTATGTTCATTACAGTGCTATTGACAATAGCAAAGACGTAGAATCAACCCAGGTGAGCACTGATGGTGGACTGGATAAATATGGTGCACATACACCATGGAATACCACGCAGTTATAAAAAGGAAGGAAATCATGTCCTCTGCAGTGACACGGGTGCAGCTGGAGGCCATTATCCTCAGTGAACTAATGCAGGAATAGAAAACCAAACACTGTATGTTGTCACTTAGAAATGGGAGTTAAACATTGGGTACACATGGACATAAAGATGGCAAAAATAGATACTGGGGACTCCTAAAGGAGAGAGGGAGGGGAGCAAGGTGTGAAAAACTACCCATTAGGTACTCTGCTCACCACAGGGGTGACAGGCTCAATCAGTCTCCAAACCTCAGCATCACGCAATATACCTTTATAACAAACCTGGACATGTATCCCCTGAGTCTAAAATAAAAGGTGAAAAGTAAATACAAATTAAAATAAAACAAAATACTCCTCTAAGAGTCATCTTACCGGTGGGCATCACATATTGGTTTGCTGCCTTATAAACAGGATGTTCTAATGGACTCTCTGGGGTACTGCTGGCAGGGGCATAAAAAGGTACATTTCTGGAAAGACTCTTTCACAAAAGATATCAAAAGCCTTTAAAATGTGCAAAATCCTTACCTCAATATTGCTTTATCATTTGATGCTAAGGAGTAAATTGAGGATGGGTATATAAGCTTAAGCATCAGGCTAGGCATGGTTGATCACACCAGTAATCCCAGCACTTTGGGAGGCCAAGGTAGGTGGATCACCTGAGGTCAGGAGTTCGAGACCAGCCTGGCCAACATGGTGAAACCCCATCCCTACTAAAAATACAAAAATTAGGCAGGCGTGGTGGTGTGTGCCTGTAATCCCAGCTACTCGGGAGGCTGAGGCAGGAGAATCACTTGAATCCAGGAGGCAAAGGTTGCAGTGCACCAAGATCGTGCCATTGCATTCCAGCCTGGGCAAAACGAGCAAAACTCCATCTCAAAAACAAACAAACAAAAAAACAAACTTAAGTCTCAACAATGTTCACCACAGCACTAATTTAACAGCAAAAAAAGAGGAGAGAGAAGTAGGGTAATAAGCTCAATCCTAACAAAAGCGAACCCTAGAGTATTACAGAGTCAATGAAAATATCGTTCTAAAATTTAAATGAGAAATGTTCACAATATATTAATTACAATTAAAAATCAGGTCCCTCAACAACATGTAAGATATATGAAGCACATATTCAGTATGTCAACTGTGATTATCTCCGGGAAAAGGAAGATAATTTGATTTTTACAATTTTTGATGTGGTTTGGCTCTCTGTCCCCACCCGAATCTCACCTTGAATTGTAATAAAACCCACATGTCAAGGGCGGGGCCAGGTGGAGATAATTGAATCATGGGGGCAGTTCTCCCCATACTGTTCTCATGATAGTGAGTGAATGCTCAAGAGATCTGATGGTTTTATAAGCATCTGGCATTTCTCCTGCTGGTAAATTCTCTCTTTGCCTGCCGCCATCCATGTAAGATGTGACTTGCTCCTTCTTACCTTCCACTATGATTGTGAGGCCTCCCCAGCCATGTGGAATAAGTCCAATGAACCTCTTTCTTTTGTAAATTACCCAATCTTGGGTATGTCTTCAGCAGCAGCATGAAAATGGAGTAATACAATTTTTATCCTTTTCCTTATTCATTTTCTAAAATGAACATATGTAACTTGTTAATAAGAAAATAATGTACAATCACAGTCCTTAAAAACAAAGGTGTAACAAGGTATGCACCTTCAGTCCCAGCTAATCAGGAAGCTGAAGCGGGAGGATCACTTGGACCCAGGAGTCTGAGTCCAGCCTGGGCAACATAGTGAGACCGTGCCTCTAAAAAGAAGTCTAAAAAGTGAGTTTTAGAGTCTAAAACTAGGTTAGACCTCACCACCTGTTCCAGAGTATTCAAAGGGGTTTGTGAACTCAGAGACCTGGAACCCTTTCTATGGGGTTAAGTATAAGAAGCTGCTCCTACCTTTAGCTCTGTACAGGATCCTGTGGCTCCAGGAGGAACTTTGAATCTTGGTGAGCTGCAAGATAATCTTAGGCAAAGCTACAGAGTAATCAAGTGCAAGACTGGGTGTCATCTTGCAGTAGCTGCGCAGAAATCAGAGAAGGGAGCTTCCTGGGAGAGCTGTTTTGCTCTTTTCCCAGGAGTCTGTTCATGTAGGGGGTGAAACTGGAGCTGCTACTGCAGTATTCAAAGCCCCACCTCCTGAAAAACAGCTCTGAGTACTCACTAGGACAACTCAGGGCAGCAAGGATTAAACAGGGAGCTAGAGAAGAATCTCGATTCTCCTCTTCTGGAAGGTAGCTACGCCAACCACTATACCACCAACACCCTGGCAAGATTCTACTCTTCTGTATCCTGGCTGTGGTATGGATTACACAAATCATGAGTTAAAACGCACAGAACTGTATCCCCTTCCCCCCAAAACTAAAAGCAATTCATATATAACTATAAAAATATTTTTTACTGAAAAAAGTTCTAGTAAAAGAAATAAAAGGCACTACATTTCCTGAATTATTGAGTCTGACTAGTTAGATGGTGATCACTTAACCCAGTAATCTCATCACCCCCAGGAAAGTGGAGGCAGCAACTTCTTTTCCCAGTCACATGGCAGTGGCAACTTCTCGGCCACAGAGTCCTTGTGAAGACAGTTTGGTAATAATGCATGAAAACACAAGTGACAAATGAGAACTGAGAGTTAGCAGTAGCAGCTCCAGTTTCACCCCCTACCTGAACAGACTCCTGGGAAAAGAGCAAAACAGCTCTCCCAGGAAGCTCCCTTCTCTCATTTCTGTGCAGCTACTGCAAGATGACACCCAGTCTTGCACTTGATTACTGTGTAGCTTTGCCTAAGATTATCTTGCAGCTCACCAAGATTCAAAGTTCCTCCTGGAGCCACAGAATCCTGTACAGCGCTAAAGGTAGGAGCAGCTTCTTAACACTTAACCCCATAGAAAGGGTTCCAGGTCTCTGAGTTCACAAACCCCTTTGGAGCCAAGGGTCTCAGTTTATTTCTGGTTTTGAGAGAAAGATTTTTCTTTTCTTGTTTGTTAAAAAGGCTCTAAACCAACAACAAACTGTAAAGATAAAACATTCAACAATGTTAATTTCCAATGCCTTATGTTTCTCTCCAGCTGCTCAAGGTCATACCTCCCCACTGAATGATTAGAGGGTTGCTGATATGGTAAATGGGGGGAGAACACACACACACACACACACACACACACACACACACACACACTCTCTCTCTCTCTCTCTCTCTCTCTCTCCCTCCCTCTCTCCCCCACCCCCCTTCTATGAAGTCCAACCTCTAATAGAAAGAGCGAGCAGCTCAGATCCCGGCCAGCCAGGACAAAGGACTGACAAACCAGACGGAAGCCCTGGAGCATCTGTGAAATCTTGTCTGTTCCTCTGCCTCCTCCGAGAAACGAATCACAAGACTGCTCAGAAAAAGAAACCAAAAGGGCAGAGGCTCAAAAAGCAGCCGGGCCTGAATTTCATTCTGTTTCCAAAGAGTGAGCTTACATGCTGTGTTGGTTATTTGCACAGTGGGCAGGCAGGCTGACAGCTTGAGGGGGCTATTTTGGGGGGATATATGCTGCAAGTCTGGTTAAGAGAAGGTCCTAGGCTCTGCACTCCCAGTAGGCATTTCAGCTCCCAGGCAGATCATGCATCTCCACAGAGGTTAAGAGCCCAACAGCTAGCCTGGCAAGCACAGCGTGTGCATTTAAGTCATCCCGAGAGGATCCACACCTCAATGCACAACCAGAACCTAAGTGAGGTGAGAGAGGAGACAAGAGGAGTGAGTAAGGGCCCTTTCCACCCATAACTACTGGCTGCACTTCTGGAGAGGCTGATCCAGGAAGCTAAATACACTGAAAAATAGAACGAAAGGGCTGGGAAGACACGAACAGCCTGAAGAATGGCTAGGATTTCCAACCTGAACTACAGAAATGGTGCTTTTAGGGCTGGCGCAGGAACTAGCACTGCTCCCTTCCTTCCCCTCCTCCTCTCAGCTGCGCACCAAGTATCTCCTACCCTGTGCACTCCCCTTATGGTGGGTGTGGGGGGATGTGGCAGCTCCCACTACAACTCATAATGGTCCCCAGTGTCTACCTCCCTCATGCACAGCCACTCTGTAAAGGTTTCTAGGTCATCCTTCTGATTTAAAAAAAACCCAAAAACCTAGCACAAGCAATACACATTTGCATACAATACCCAGTTACATGCACACATTTACATACCTGCACATTTCCATAAAATACACATTTATGTACATACACATATACCTGTTTTTACAGTAGGAGCAAGGCAGGAAGCCTCTATCAGATCTCGAATTTTGTTTTTTCCTCATCTGATTCCAGCAGCAAGAGCAATTTGGATTAAAAATTTTCCATTATAAAGCCTGATTAGAGATAGAAATGCCACCTGCTTGCTTTCCTCCCCACCCCACTCTACCCATCCAGTGAGATTTGTTAATAAACGGGGGAACAAAGATGGAAGAGAGATCCAGGCTGCATTCTTTGCAAGTGAGGAGCGCACCCTTGTCGGAGCGTTTTAGATACTGTGCTCTGGCAAACCCCAGCAGGCTGATCCTCTTTGCTCTCAGAGTAGCTGGGGTGCAGCTCTCAGCCTCTTAATAAACACATCCATCTCCCTCCACACTGGTAGGCGCAAGGATTTTCTCTGACCAAACCCACGCTTCTGCATCTATTTTCAGCCCCCATAAATCATATTCCATTGTTTTGGGGAAATCCAAATTCAAGTTTTAACAGGCCATCAACCTCATCCCTCCATTCCTCACCACTCCAAATTTCCCTCAGGGTGAAATCTGCAAAGAGGAAATTCTAAATCAGATGTGGACTTAAAAGGCAAGCTCCTACACAGGGCAGGAAAACAAAACTGGGTAAAAATACCGGCAATAACCACTAATGTCTTTGGTTAAAGGGCCTGACTGATTCTTTGGTACAGGTGTGAACTCAGTGGGCATCTGCAGGAAGCAGAGTTTGAACCTAATGCTAAATGACACACGATCCTGCTCTTCATGACCGTAAGTGCTGCGGTGGCTGGATTAAATGGCTCTGCTGCAGAATTTCTCCCATTTCAAGGTTACTAAGAAATATAAAATGGATTTAAAATTTATTTCAGTGTGCCCACCCTTCTCAAATCAGCACATTCAGGATTCTTACTCATAACTAGACTTGACCTAGTACAAGTTCTCTATTTTGCCCTGAGACACGGAGAGACTTGCTGTGCAGTCCCAGGTGGATCTGTATCTCAAATGTTTCCAGGATCGAAATTAGATCACAGATGCTCACGGCATAAAGTCTGCCAAACCAGGTCTGTGGACTGGTACAATTCTTAAAGAGCCAATACCGAAAACAGCTGTCTAGGGCCAGGAGGCCTTAATGACATCCTGGAAAATACAGGACAGTATAAAAGGACTATACAGAGTCAATGATTTTGAAAATTCCCAAGCTCTTAACTACAGCCCAAATGCATATGCTTTAAAATGTACCCACCCCCAAAGCAATGCACAGCTAACTGTGACTTTGCAAGCCCAGCTTTAGCTCCACGCATCCACACTGCAGCCTGCCAGAGGTCTGCAGACCACTCCCTGCTGAGAGAGTCCAGCTAACCCTATCGGCCTCCCAGCAGGCTGCAGCATGATGTCCAGATCCAAGTCCAGGCACCAGCTGGAGGTCCCTTCGGCCTGCCTTCCCATGTGCCGTGCCGTGTTCCTGACCGGTTGGACAATAATCAGAGAAGGCCACAGGAAAAGCCGCATCATGCCCACCGCGGCCACTCCCTGGCCCTCATCAACACCGGTTGCGCGCACTTCTACGGAAGAACACAGCATGTAGGAGCACGGACCTGCTACAGAAGGCTGTGGAACAAGAAACACCAGCATGAGAGGGCGGCTGGTCTGCAGCTTTCAAAGAAGGCAGAGGCTGCGGAGCTTCTGCAGAGGAAGTGGTGATATTTCAACAGCCAACTCCCACAAAAACAGGCAGTGAAGAGGAGTGGGGCAGTCGCAGCAGCTTCCAGCACCCCAGCCACCTTCTCCAGGTATTCGGGGCTTGTCTGTGACCACAGTGGTAAGCAGGACACACCTGAAAGTACCTTCTGGCGGAAAAGCAAACACCTTAACGCTGCCCAATCGGTTCCTTCACTCCTCCCCATTCTTAACAAGAGATCTGGAATAGCGCCGACAGGGAAAGTTTCTGCGATTAAGGAGAAAACTACACCGCGGGTGGCCTCTCCCTCAACTCTCACTGGGCCATCTGCAACCTGCCTCGCCCCCGTCACCTGCCGTAAGGCTCGCTCTTGGGCTGTTAGTGAAAAAACGACTCCACCTGCCTCCACCAGCCACGCCGGGCTTTCAGAAAAGCCCCCTCAACTAGGAAAGCCTAACTTCAATCCACCCCTAAAGTCCGACCCACAGGTGTGACAGGCTTCCCGTGCAGGGGCTGGGGTGCTCCCAGGAAGTGAAGGAAAAGGTACCCGACGACCTTGTCACTGGAAAAGGGCTGACCACGGCCTCCGCCTCACCCTCTCCACCCAAGGGTTCGGAGCCCCCAGGTGCAGTCAGACCGATCCCCACTCCTGCAGACTCATTTGTTTCCGGAGAGACACCCACAAGCCAGCCCACGGAGCGTCTGGAGACTCGCCCGCCCCAGCACCCACGCCTCCCCCGCGCCGGGTTCCAGCACCGCCCCCGACACCCACCCGCGGGCCGCCCCTTACCGCCGGTGTCCTCGAAGCGCGGGGGCGGACGGTCCCGCAGCGCGGCGCTCCAGCCCGCGCCGGCCTCGTCCTCCTCCGGCTCCTGCGCGTCCAGGGCGCGGGGAGGCGGTGGGGCGGCCCCTGAGGGTCCAGGGGGCTCCCGCTCCTCGTCGGAGGAGGCGGCCGAAGAGGAGCGCGAGGCGGCCGAGGTGCTGTAGAAGGGGTTCCCGCCGCTGTCCGGGCCGGACTCGCCGAACACGTCGTCCGAGATGTGCAGGCTCTCGTAGCGCGCGCGGGCAGCCTCGAGCAGCGCCGGCGCCCTCCTCCGCGCGCCCCCGCCGCCCTCTGCCATGGCCCCGGCCGCCGCCCGCGCGCCCGACCCCCACAGTGCCTCCCAGCCGCACGCGCCGGCCCGCCCGCGCCCGCCGCGCCCCCACCAGCGACCCGCCCAGCATGAGCGCCGCCGCCCCGTGCCGGCCGGCCCGCCTCTGGTGGCGCTCGGGCCCAGGCGCCGAAAGCGCCTCGGAGGCTCGGGCGCCCGCTAGGCTGCGGGCGCTGCGGAGACGAAGCCGGCGCGCGCGGGTGGCCAGGGGCCTTTACCAGCTTATCGGGCGGGACGCCCGGCGACAAGGCTGGCGGCCGAGACCAGGCGCCGCCGCCGAGCGGCGCCGCCACCGCCGGTGCGGGCTGCGTCTCCTCGGCTGCGCTGCCGCGTCCACTGCGGCGCCTCCCCACGCGGCCTCCGGGCGCGGGCTGCCGACCCTTCCGGGGCGCGAGCCGGCCGGCAGGCGGGCCCCGCCCCCTCGCACCTCCCGCGCCCGGCCGGCCCCACTATGGGGAGCCCGGGCCCGTTACGGCCGCGGGGCGAGCCTGGGCGGGCGGGCGGCGGAACGGCCCCCTCTCGGCGGGGCGGGGCCCGGGTTCGCGCAGCTGGGGCTCGCGGGGAACGGGTGAGCGGGCCGCCGGCGGCAGGCGCCGGTCTCCTCCTGCCCAAGGACGCGCATCCCGGGAACCGCCACGCCGCAGCGGGGTGGTGAGAGGGCGGGACCGGGGAACAGGGAGGGGAGGGGCGGCCCCGGGTCTTTCAAGCGGTCGGGTCGCGAGCAAAGCGCGAGCCACCCCGCTCACGGTCCGCCTTCCGCCCAGTCCGCGTGCGGCTCCAAGGAGCTGTCCGGGTGCCCGGTGGTTCTGAACC